TTGGGTCTATGTTTGTACAGATCCAGTCTATTGAGGTTTTAGTTTCATGTGTAATTCTAGTAGGCGGCAGATTTAGTCTAACAATGTCAAAAGAGGATAGAAGATCTTCAACTTGGATGTTATCTGTGTCATTTGCATGTTCACCAAGGTTGTTTACATTTATGTCGCCCATGATGACAGTTTTCTTCTTTGTGCGGAGAGCATATTCCAGCTGGCTTGCTAGGATATCTAGCGCTTGTTCCAAATTGTCCCTTGGAGGCCTGTAGACTCCCATGACCTGGACTATTTCCTTTTTCAGTTTTATTTCGAAAAGAGCAGTTTCACATACTAGTTCTGAGTCGTCATCACTTATCTTAAGTACTTTCATATAATTTTCCAAGCCATGTTTGGCATATCCTGCAACTCCTCCTTTCGTATGATTTCTTCTTGTGTAGCCTCCAATTAGGGTGTAGCCAGCTAGCTGTGTGTTTTCTAAGTTTTCTCGGGAGAGACCATGCTCTGTAATAACTATGAAGTCTGGTTGTTCATTATTAAGGAAGTGTGATAGTCTTTCTGTTTTATTAGACAGCCAGTCTATATTTTGGTGGGCAAGGGTGAGTTGGTGTCTGCGAACTAGTGGGTGTTTTGATTGGTTATCAACACTGTTTTTAGATTTTGTTATGTTGTTGCCGGTGGTTTGGTTGAGGGTCCTAAAAAAGAGGTTTGGGTGTTGCTGGTTTCTGTACTTGGGTTGCTGCTATCTACTTGGGGTGGGATCAAGGTACTTCTAGAGGCTGGGGTTTCAGAGTGACTAATTGAGGCTGATAATCTTTCTTTGTGTTGGATATTTATGTCTTTGAAGTAATCTATATGCTTCATGAAAAAGTCATCCAAAGTTTCCTGGTCGCCTCGTATTCTTGCTGTCATAGGTGGAAGCCTTTCTTTTTGAGTCATTTTTTTAGAAGGAGTTTGGTTGTTTCTCCTGGTCATATCCGGGTTCAGTTTTTTGAAAGGAGTTTGGCTTTCTCTCCTTGTAGTTTCTCGTGTCAAGATGTCAGCATCGCATTTCTGTTTTACACCATCTACCTGTAAGCCTATTTCTACATTGGCAGGTTCTTCAAGCCGAGATTTGTTTTTGGCTACTTGGAGAGATACACTGAAATGGTTTCTTTCTTTCCCAATTGGTTTTTTGCTCTTGCTTATGTTGTGGTTTTTAGAACGAGGAAAAATCTCTTTAGTGGGTGAACTTTGTGTGACTGTTGATGGTGTAGCAGGGTTTATTTGTTCACCTTGTTTGTGCAGTTCTTTTTGCAAAGTTTCCACAGAGCGTTCTAGTTGGTCTTGTCGAGTTTTCAGCTGAGCCAGCTCAGTAATTAGAGAGGCACAGTAGTTGGGAACATAAAAATCGGAGTGATTTGTTTGTGTTTCTGAAGTGCCAGTAGGTTTTGGTGTCTGAGGTAGGTCCACTTTGTCATCTTGGTTTAGCTTCAGCTTGTTTATCATTCCACCTAATTGCTTAATTTCATTTGCTGAGTTGAGTAGTAGTTTTTCTCTTTCATTATCTTGTTCTTCAAAGGTTTGTATCATTTTAATTCTTAGCTGTCTTTCCTTCTCTAGTTGGAGTTCTACTTCATTTAGTGTTTCAACCAGTGAAGCATTTCGGGAGAGCAGGATTTCCTTGTCATTTTCAAGCTCTTCAATTTTTGCCTCAGCAAGGTTCATGTCAGCAAAGTTATCGTCTCTGAAGTCTTGGCATTCTAAGGAAGAGAATTTTTGCTTCATATCATGTAGTTCTTGCTTTAATTTATTATTTTCTAACAGTAAAGCATGTCCAGCTTCCGCAGCAAGTGTGAGCGATGTCTCTAGATCATCAGGATTTTGTTCTTGTTCTTGTAAATCTTGTACTTTATTCAGGACATCTCTGAGCTGCTTATTTTCTAGTGGAGGGACATTACTGTCTAATGTTGTGTTTCTGTCAGGGTTCAAGCATTTCGGGTTTGAGAAGGCATTTTCTGCTTCCTTTAAGGCTTTGTTGAACACTTTATTTTTAAAATTGTCTATTTTTGGTTTCCCATACAGATCTTTACTTTGTTCGTAACAATACATATCAGTTTCTCTAACGTCAGCAGTGTTGTTGTCGCCAAAAAAAATTACCTTATATTTTGAGGTGCAATTTTTGTCATTTGTACAAATTTCAGTAATTTTAGCTGGCCAGTGTGGGTACCCTTTTAATTTTACAAACACAATTTGTCCAGTGTTAAAGCTAGTTTTGTTGCTTATTTCCATGTTAGTTAATCCAGTTGCTGATTCAGTTTTGAAAAGTTTGACTGGTTCTTTATGTCAGGGATCTTGAAGTTCAGTGTAAAATTATATCAGTTTTGAAAAGTTTGGCTGGTTCTTTATGTCAGGGATCTTGAGGTTCAGTGTGAAATTATATCAGTTTTGAAAAGTTTGGCTGGTTCTTTATGTCAGGGATCTTGAAGTTCAGGTGTAAAATTATATCAGTTTTGAAAAGTTTGGCTGGTTCTTTATGTCAGGGATCTTGAAGTTCAGGTGTAAAATTATGTCAGTTTTGAAAAGTTTGGCTGGTTCTTTATGTCAGGAATCTTGAGGTTCAGGTGTAAAATTATATCAGTTTTGAAAAGTTTGGCTGGTTCTTTATGTCAGGATAGAAATATTTAAATAAATAAATAATTTATTTCTGTTGTCAAAAATTTATGTAGAGTAATGAGGAATACAGTGTTGCACTGTATTACTGGTTGGGAGTAAGTTGTAGACACTGTTTGAAGTGGCAGTGTCTGTGGTCAGGGTGTGCTGAGCCTGCAGTCAGCAACTCTCAGTTCAAACACTCCCAGGCAGCAGGTGTCGTGTTGGAAGTGAAGAATGTGTAAAGCTGTGAGTTGGCTATGACGTCACTGCTTGGTTGTCAATTTAATACTTTGTCACAAATATATTGGTGAAATTTCTTTTTTTGCACTTTTTAATATTTATTGTGCTTTAGTGGTTTGATATATTTGTAGAGTTTAATTTAAAGAATTTGGACACTTATATGTAAATGTAAAATTGAAACTTTTAAACTGTGCGATGTTTACAAGATAACCATCTGTTCAATGAATTCTTGAGGTAAATGTTATTGTTGGTATTAAACTTGTATTAATAACTTACAGTCATGTTCAGTTTGTCTCGATATTGGCTTTTCATGAGATTTTCTTGAGGGTCTTGATTAATAGTACCTTTCATGTGAAGGTGCTGATGTGTACGACCTACTTGCTTGATTTGAGGTTGATGTCTTCGAGTTTCACTTCTTCCAAAATGTTTTTGTCTTAAAATCACTTGATAAAGTTGTTGTTTGGATGTGTGATGTTTAATTAGTAATTTTGTTGTTTTTTACCACTTAAACTACACTTTAGATATGGGAGCACTTTGCAGGTGATGCTAGATGTCCGCCATCTTGGTTTTCAATCACTTCTTATCAGTTCTTCTTTCAGGCTCGTGTAAGGGTTTTCCAGATTTGGGTTTGAGAGTAAATCCTCTGTTTCGGAAGCAGTCATCTCATCTAAGTGTGTCACAACGTTTGTGAAACGAAGGCTCTCATCAAAAATGTGCTATAAAGAGAAAATCGCCTCAATCTGTATGAACCAAAGTGCTGGTTTCTCTCACCAAAAATGGGGAAATTTTAGTTGTGGAGATTGCATTGAAGTTGTGTTGTCAGACGGACTTGGATTTACTGAATTGTTTCTTTCTTGAGTTTTCTGATTCATTGGATTAACCAAAAAGTCTTCTTCTGAATCATGATTTTGTCTTGAATATTCAGAGTCAACTCCAATGACATCATTAAGCTGTTTTCTGAGATCTTGGTTTTGCTCTTCTATCAGTTTTAGTTTTGCCAATACTTCTTCATTGATTTCCATTATGTGTTCTTGATGTGTTCAAATCGGGGTCACCAATTTTAGTGAAAAGAACCTCATTTAAATAGGAGAAATACCTTAAATAAATGTCTAGAGGTTTCCACTAAATATTATTGTTTTATTTATCATACTTTTAAAATGAATTAACAATTAATTGTCTAGAGCAAATAAAAATGAACCACTTTTGTTGGAAAAGCCTAGAAGAAGAATCTTTGTTTATCTTTCTCTTCTTAGCAACCAAAATTCAATTAAACTATTTAAAACATCTGTCAGCTCACTACACATATTCAAACTTTTGGAAACTCTTTTACATTTCAATTCAGGTCTAAATGTCAACAAAAGGGTAGACGTTTCATTGTGAAAGGTTTTAGACGTTCATTACTTAGTAAATACGGAGCAGTAAAGTATTTACTCCAGTAAATTATATCAAGATTCATGCTTTAACATGTTTATGTAGTTTCAATTTTTTTCAAATTTATGAATTGTATTACTAAAATAAAGTCATTTGCCATTCGCCTATTGGTCCTGATGATGATTGGAGTGTCCAATCGAAATTGATCACCACTTACCATCTTTTATGTATATTTACCATCTTGTGAGTAACAATGTAAGCGTAAATATATGGTATAAGTGTTATAAGACTTTTCTTTTATTTACTTTCCGTAAAATAAAGTGTATTTTCATTTTCTCTTTTCAAATATTCAAAATTTTGCTAGTGATAAAATAACTTGTTTGTGTATAATTACCAAAAAATCTTATCCTGTGCAAATTTAAAGAAAATTTTGAAAAAAAAACAATAAAGGTCTTAAAATGGATAAGCCGGACACAACTTTTTTAGTCAATTCAAAAATAAAGCAAACATACATTTGTGTCAAAAGCGGAGGTCCATGTTTTCAAAATTATATAAAGCTCTTTATTATGAATTATATTATAATGACAGACTTAAGTCTTCTTATGCCAATTACATCAATGTTTTAAGCTTCTAATTAATGTAATTCCAATTAATATGACTGAATCATATTTTTACGAAACTAAGATATTTATTACGTTATTAATTTTTAAATTTATTTGGATACTATCATCTATCATTAAATATATAACATGTTTTTTTAGGGTATCGAAAATTGAAGAAGCTAAAAGTGATTTGCTGAAAAATGCCAACAAGATAAAGAAAACTGAATCTTCAAGCATATCCTCAGTATTTCAGGGATTTGGTGGATACTTAAAAAAGTTGGTGTTATCGTTCATCCAGAGAAATCCCATCAAGAATGCTATAACCGATTAGAAGCTTAAGAAGAAATATTTTAACTTGTGATAACTGAGGCAGTTAAACTGACTTTTATAAACTTGCCATTTGTGTTCCAAAGAAGGATTAATGTTGAGTTCAGTTTTAGAGCATATGTAATCTTTGGTTTTAGGTAATGTAGTCTGAATTTTGTGATAAAACTGACTTATCAGGTTAAAGTAGGTAAGTTAACATAACAAATGGTATTTTTCAAAGAAATGTTGGATAACAATTTATATCTAATTAATAGACTGAATTTTGTGATAGTAGTGCTGTCATATCAGTTTGGTTTATGCTTTCTAGAATGAGACTGTGATTTCAGATGATATTTTATTTTTAACCTTTAAGGTAAAGTAGTAACCATGCTAACAACAATTGTTTTGTTGGCTTTCATAGAAAAAATACATGTTATTTTCAAATATTATGGTTCTTTAAGGATAAGTTTTGTGATACCAGTAAATAGTTACCTATGTATAAATGTACATTAAGCTACTAGTTAAAACTTTTTCACATTTCTTACGTGTAGCTTATGGCTTTAAATATTTGCTTAAAATATCTTAAACAGATTTGGACATTTATTAAGTTCACTTGATAGGTTTTCATATGGTTTTGTTCGTAATGTTGCAAGTAGATAAAAATTTGTTTCCAACTAAAATTGTACAACATAAGTGATATTTATTCAATAAATCTATTTCATTAAAAATGTTATTGTCATTCATTTTAACCGTAAGAGAGTAAACTTATAGTGTATCTACTAAGTTTTTTCTCTGTGAAATTACACCAGAGTTCTGCTAATCCGGACTTATTGGGACTGGACCTTGTTTGAATCACCAAATTGTTCAGATTAGCTGGAAATTCAGTAAAATTGTTTCAAAAATATTCACACCATTATTGCTGGCGACTTTTTAATTAAAATAAAGAGATTTCCAGGAATATAGAAAGTAAAACCCATATATTTTATTTGTCAATTTCTTTTAGCTCTGCTAGGACGTCATAGAACTTCTATGACTGTAAGTCCTAGTTACTTCTATGATAGAAGTAACTATTCCGCAAACATAACCTACAACTATTCCGTAAACATTTAAACACAACCTAATCACTTTGGCACCCCTATTTTGGTTCAATACTAGGCCCTGTTTTATTTCTTTGCTACATTGATAAGATTCCAAATGCACTGTCGTGTGTACCTTGTGGAAATATGTGTCTATTATGCTGATGACATATTAACTTAAAAATTACAGGAAAAACAGTAGAACACATCAAAATAGATACCCTTATAGAACTCAAATATTAAACATTACTTAATACTTACTAATCTAATAATCTTGAAATAAACAAAAATAAAACTAACTTTCCTACAGTCACCCGACAAAGTTGGCTTCCTTGCACTCACTGTTTATAGTACAGAAAGCTGCTAATTGCTGCATTTACTTACTTTGTCGTACGGTTTATGGAATTCCTTATCAGTCAAAACTTATCTCATGTGTTTGAAGGCAAAATTTAATTTCCTTATTTTATTTCTAACATAATTAACGTGATCTATCCATTTTAATCGTTCATCAAACAATACACCTAGGTATTTATAAGAGTTGACCTTTTCTATAATTTCACATCTACAAGAATTACTTTGATAATCGTCACATTCGTGGATTGTGAGATTACCTAAATTGAAGTCTGTACGCTTGCTAATAGATATAGACATTCTGTCTTAGAAGTATTTAATGAAAGAACATTTTGATTTAGCCACTTCTTAATCATCATGAGGTCGTGTGTGGCTCTGTCATGCACCTCGGGCCAGGTCTTTCCTTGCAAGAAAATTAGGCTGTTATCGGCAAACATTGACATTCCCTTTTGTAGATTGACCAAAGCAGCCAAAATCTCTAAATTTATAGGGCTTAAACTTTACAATATACTATCTATATATATAATACGCTAAGCCGATTTTTGTAAACAGAACTCCTCCCACATTTTTGGACCGATTTTGATGATTAAAATGTCAAAACAATGGCCCTGATCTGTAGTTTTGCAAAGTGTTTTTCCTTTTTTGATATCTTTATTAGTTTGGGCAGGATCTTCCATCAAAGTTGGGTTTTCTCCCATAAGATTAACATGGGGAAATCTAAATATTTAATTGGAAACTTTGTCTTCACTAATTTGAGAGAACGGCTGGGCGTAGAAATTTGATAGAGGTGCCCAAAGAAAGGTATTGGTCTGTAGATGAGTTATCAAAAGATAAACGAAGTAAATTCGCTTAGGGCTCTGCCCCAGAAGCCTTTAAAGATCCCTCGACAGCTTTGTTTACATTTTGGCCATATAATACTTTTTAATGAAACAGCTGTTAATTTTTTAAATTGTGTTTTAAACAACACACATTTATTGGGAGTTACTGAATTGTCCAGAAGAAGTATTTGAAATGTTATTTTCTGATTTTAAAATAGATTTTCTTCTGTATCATATCATATTTTGCAATATAAAGTTTCATCAGTGGAAATTCCTTTTATCACAGAAATCTCACAATAATTTCTTATTGAACTATCTAATACCTGTTGTACGGGGTTTTGTCTGGCTTTTTCACCACTTTTGCCCATATTTTATCATATTATTCTACAGATCATCATAGGTTCATGAGATTATTGTCATACATGTTTTCAATAATTGGAAAAATAGTCGAATGTGTAATACAATACAAAATAATACAAGTGCAGAAGGGCACGTTGTCCATTTGAGCCGTGTCCATATTTTGTTAGATTAATAGTAGTTTTCAGCAACTGGATAAAACATTTTATAATATTTATGTAGAAATATGTGCACGATTTAGAAAGTCATTAAGCTGTAAATCTGCAATTATTTACTACAGACTTTTCAGAGAGGTTGCTATAAAGTATTCATTCATCATAGTGAACACATAATATAGATATGTATACAAATAATAATTTGAACTCTTAGAGAGCCTTTTAATGTTACTAGAATAACGAAATGGGTTGTACATGTTTACTAGCGCTACTCAGCAACAAAAACCATTTAATTTATATCAAAAATATATATTCTTAAAGTGCACTGAGCAGCATCCTAAAAAATACTATGTAACTTACCCATATAGTTACAAAATGCTTGAACTCGCATTGTAACATTTATAATTCGGCTTATATTTCTCCAGCAGATTATATATCTACAGAAGAAGTTTATTGTGCTCTTATCATGTCTAATAACATCCAAAGACAGAAACCTTGCCTAAAATGGTACCTATCTTGAGAAATTATTTGCAGTATCCTATATTACGGACCGCGGACCACTGGGTTGTTAACATGATTGAAAATAACAGGACATTTCGGCTATAAAAAAGGCATAAAGAGTAAATACTATTTAAGCAGCTACTTAAAGTATAATCCACTAAACCTAACTTTCCGTAGATGAATTAGCGTAAGACTTGAGAGTAACCGTCGATTTCGACGGGTTTCACCTAGTCTCAATATACTACCTCATCATGTCAGGAATATTGAATCCTTTGCTAATTTTAAAACTGTTGTAACAAATGGTCTTCTAAAGCAACCAACTTTTTTTCTGTTAATGAGTTTTTATATTTGAGTGCTAATGATTTTAGAGATTTTAAGTAGCATTGTTATTCAACAATTTTTTATTTTATGATATTTATTATTCTCAATTGACAACTGTGATCTCTTCTGTGATATAAGCTAAGTTTCTACATGTATGTTACATAAGGTCCACTGTGATAATGTTCATGACTCTGTTACATTTTTTAGTTTATAGTTTTCTTTGACAATGTATATTGCACAACTGTGTCTAATGACATTAAAGGATTCTTATTCTTATTCTTAAGTAAGATTCTACAACCATTGCTGTGTACGAATCCAAGCTCACGAATCTTCCAAAGGAAGCTTATGAAAATTATTTTTCTACTCAACTTTTTTAGGAAAGGTTGGGAAAATAACAATGATCAGATGTTTTAATTAACCTTGGCAGCTTTTTCTTTACTATAAATTTTGAACTGCTTAAACTATGCTTGAATTAGTAATTGACATACTATATACAGATTTAATGGACTACGGTACTCGATTCCCGTACGTAGGACGGGCCAAACAGCTCGTTCTTAGTTATTTTACAATTACAAAGTTCTAATAGTGCTTTAAAACAGATATTTTACAGATTTCTTAGATAAGATATTTTAAAAATATATTTAATTACATGTAGATATCTTTAGTTAGACATATTTCAACCACTTTGAATATTCAATGGATATCTGGTGCTGTTAGGGATCCTAACCATTGAACCATTGAATATTCAAAGTGGTTGAAATATGTCTAAATATATCTACATGTCATTAAATATATTTTTAAAATATCTTATCTAAGAAATCTGTAAAATATCTGTTAAGATAACCTTTAGATATTTAATAGATATTAAAAGTTTCACAGTAGATATTTATATAATGTTTAGATGCAATATCCTAAAAATGATGTACATATATTCAGTACTAGATATCTACGAACATATATCCTGTAAATATCAATCTTACATTGACAATTGGAGATTGATTATAAAGACGACAAGTGCATTATTGTTTCATCAACAATATTGAATGTTACAGTTAGCCTTATTAAAACACAGGATCTAAAGTCAACCAACAAATCAACAAACACTAATCAAACTAAAACTTAATTGTAGTTTTTATGTCGTTATTTTGGTAGAATGAATTATAGTATGTTGTCTGCGTTACCAAATCCGTGCTAGGCGTAAAAAAAAATCATTTTAATCAGCCCAAAGTGGACAATAAATTGTATTAGCGATGTTTACGAGAATGACTACACTTTTCCAAAGGGAGTGTTTTATTAAAGTCAAACTATTTTAGTCAGAAGGAAAGAAATGTGCATTACACCAGGTAATATACAGGGTGGTAAAAAAGTCCCAGGACAGTTAAATATTTTAAAAAATAATGCAGATAGAGCTACAATACTTGGTATAAAGTTACAGGGCATAAAACTCTATTTTAACACATATTCAGTGATCCAATAACTCTTCAGGGGGACGGCCCACAAGGAGTCGGAAGAAAATCTTAAATGGAAGCATAGGTCAATATGCACATCAAATTAAATTTCTTTTTTAGTAGAATACAATGCCGCAAACCGCACTTCAAAAGGTTGATCCTGCGCAAAATGGCAGATGTTCAAAGATTTCTAGAATCCGCCATTTTTAATCTTTGAACGACTGCCATTTTTTACTCAGGCATTCTTTTGAGCTTGAATTTACGGCATCGTAATCTACTAGTGAAGACCTTTAATTTGATGTGCATATCGACCTATGCTTACGTTAACAATTTTCTTCCGATTCTTAGGACTGTGCCCCCTGAGGAGTAAGCGTATAATAGCAATGTAAATTAAATGAATCTTTGAACAACTGTCATTTTGTGCAGGCTAGTAGATTACGATGCCGTAAATTCAAGCTCAAAAGAATGCCTGAGTAAAAAATGGCAAAGATTAAAAATGGCGGATTCAAGAAATCTTTGAACATCTGCCATTTTGCGCAGGATCAACCTTTTGAAGTGCGGTTTGCGGCATTGTATTCTACTAAAAAAGAAATTTAATTTGATGTGCATATTGACCTATGCTTCCATTTAAGATTTTCTTCCGACTCCTTGTGGGCCGTCCCCCTGAAGAGTTATTGGATCACTGAATATGTGTTAAAATA